TTTTGGACTGCAGAGACCCTTAAGGGAGCTCCTTCATGACAGCACCAGTATAGGGTTAGCCTAACCCTAATGGCATTAGGAGCCACGGGACAAGGCGGAAGGAGCAAACCTTGCGGAGCCAAAACTCAAGGCCATGAAGCTCTGGCTATTCCATCACCATTCCAGCAAATGGAACTGAATCACCTCCCTCGCTCTCAAACACGGCTAAATCACCTCCAGCTTCCTCCCTCCAGAACTGACAACGTTCTTCCCTGCTGACGTTAGGGAGGATCTGCGGCGCACTCGCAAGAGCGCAACTTCCCAGCTGTCTTGCCATGCGCCGTGGTTAATGTGCTAATGGGGCACCCCAAGGTTGGCTGAGATCGAGAATACAGAAACGGGCATATGCTGGAACGTACAGCTCAAACGAACAGCAGAAGTGCTCGAGTAAATTGCTCAAACAAATTAAGCTTCTGCATTTACCCGTATTTTCCCTAGCTATACAATTCTTCCGAGCGGTACATCATCAACAGCCACTTCTCTCCCAATTACTCAACTTAAAGTGAAGCCGTCTGGTTTAACAGCATTCTGCTGAGATGATAACCGACTCTCCCTTTTCTTCCCTCTCTCCCAGATACGAGGTAGCTGCGCAGACTAATTAGGGCACCGTCGGGACGTTATCTCAGTACAGAGAGCGTTACAGCTTGCTGCTGCTGGAGCCTCCTCTAACAGAACCCAAAGATTTACTAACCATACACAACACCCGTTTAGACAAATCCCAGTCGCACACAAGGCTGTACCACCTCCTAGAGTTCCTTGAACATCTCACATCCCATTAGCTACAACTGCAAAGCCACAACCAAAAGACACGACGTAAGATAAAAACATTCTTTTTGCTGTACGTCAAGGAAGGAAATAGTGCTACTTTAGATATGTGAGGGAAGAGACTTCACAGACTAATTATCTCCCAGAGATAAATACCTCTACTTCATAATACTTAAGTTAAAAATACACATGCCTTTTGGACCTACCAGTGAACGATCTGTTCCAGAAAAAGCAATTTAAGTAAAGTCAATAGATGTATCGGCATGCAGATGTCGTCTTCTGCCACGAAGCAGCCCAAACTGTGCATTCGCCATCCTACCAGCTTCTATAAAATAGCTGATGAAACAGAAAGCCTGTTGCAGAGCTGGAAGGTCAGATGTGTACCAGTGTAACAGCCTCAGGGCCCTCTTGTCGGGAAAGGTGCAAATCTCCACAAAGTAACGGCAGCTGAGTTGCCAAAAATTCACAGAATTGGACTTCTAAGACCCCACAGAAAGTGGAAATCCCAGTTAACGATGTAAGCTACCTACAACAACGGGCAGACAGAGGAGAAAGACACTGGGGTGCTTCCAATCTTAGTTAGGGCAGATTTCATCCCTTCCTTGACAGTCTCTACTCCAGACAGGGCACACTCTGCTCATCAAGCCCCCACCAGTGGAAGAGTTCTTGCTTTGGGATTCTTGGTATATTCAAAGAACCTTTTTGAATATATGGTTTGGGATTATTTGTATGTTCTCACATATTTTTCAATATATGAGCAATCAAAATACAAGAATAATTAACTGGTTTTGCCATACCTAACTGTTATCACTCCTTAATTAAGAAAATAGTGTATCAAAAAGCAGGGGAAAAAAAATGGGCAGTCAACTACAAAATCCCTTCTTTTTAGAACAGGAAAAACATTTAGATTCAGCAAGTTCTCACTAGAAATATTGCTATAAAGTATTGATTTTTTACCAGACTCAATTGACTGAAAAGTTGTTTGTATAGCAATATTGGCCAAGCCAATATACTGGAACAATTTTGCTACACACAGTAATCAAGTGTATTTCTAAAGTATAATTATACTGTCATAAAAATAAAGCTAAGATACCTCTTCTCCAAGCAATAAAACAGCAGCAGCTGTAAAGAACCCAAATAAATGAAATACATTTTCTAACTAAACATAGCGTCTTCCACAGAGAACAAACCCACCTCCCCTCGCCCCCGTGAGCCAAGGTTAGCATGAAAAGTGATCAATACTTCAATCTCAATAAACTATTTCAATAGTAGGGAATTCACGTGGAAAGAGAGGCTGAAAATTTTTGCTCAGCGACCTGCGACACGCTATCTTGTTTGCTGAACGCTGATAATGCATCATTGCCGTAATGGATATGACTTAGTATAAAGAGCTAAAGAAAGGAAAAAAGAAAGATACCACACAGACACGCTCGTTCTTTAGATTCAGATCAATACTACACACAGCCTCTTCTGAAACGAGCCGACAGCACGGAATGCTGGAAGAGGAGAACAGCCAAACGTTTGCAATTAATTTTATTTGACAAATGTTCATTGATTTACTGGAATAAAATATATGTGGGCTGCTATCTCTGACTAGTGCAATCCAGCTACCTGTAAGTATTCCATTTTGCAATTTCTTATTGGTTCGTGCAGCACAGATGCTCCTCTGGCGAGGGAGAAGGGGCGACTGCTCCACGGCAGGAAGTTCTGCGTGCTTTGTCCAAAGCACATCACTGTGGCACGGTGACCGCCAGCTCCCTGCAGCAACAGCTCTGCCGGGGTGAAAGAGTGAATTGGTTCAACTCTTCAACACACCAAGAGACAAATTTGGGAAGATCCGAGAGGAACACAAAGGCTAGAAGCCAGTTTTGGGGGGAAAACCATAATTCCTATTTATATTCTGCTACTGTTTGCATTGCAAAGAAAGTCAAACATCAGGAGCGTGTAAAACACACACGTGGAAAACGGTGGAGTAGTGCAGAATGACACACTAAATACTGCAAAGTAAGTCACTGCAGTGGTTGACTTAAAACGTGAACACAAGAAAAAGAAAAGAGATAGAAATATTTCCCAAATAGAGCAGAGGGCTCATGTTTTTACAGGTGAAACATTCTACTTTCCCAAACTGCAGGAAAACGCAACGCTCGGCCACTTTAGGAAGCAGATCATGGCATCAGCCCCCAGAATGCAGCAAGTCAACGCAGGAGAAGTGGCCAGAAGTATTATGCATTCCCTCCTGTGCTACTACCCTCCACGCCTTGAATGTTCACATCTCTCTTCCTCCATCCCTCCTGCAGGCTCCTACCAGAGCAGCAGTCACACGAGAAAACCGTTTGTGTGAAAACATTAAACGGAAAGCAGGGATGTAACTAGGCCCTTCAGACACGCAGAAAGAACTCAAAAGGTGCAGGTTTGGCTTTACACAGCATTCTATCCAAAGTTCCCACGTGAATTTTCAGAAACGTGGAATACATACTATGAGTGTGGCGACACTGTAAAACGACGAGCCGTTCTTACACCGCCTCCCGCTCCCAGAAGCGCCCAACCACCGTACAGACTATGCACGCACGGCAAACGCGGGATACAGCCGCTCCTTTCGGGTAGGGCAGACGCAGGTTGACACACGGACCATAAGTTCAGCAGATCCTCACAGCAAAAAGATCAGCGAAGTACAAGGCCACCTGCCTTGGTTTACATTCCTTAGACCTTGGCCACTATTAGACACAGGACGAGTGGGAGTGACTTGGTACCACTTTGTACGGCCCTTTTTATGCTGCTCATGATTTTGCATTGCTAACTCAGTATTTCAGCTACTTCCCTGGAGAACAAGACCCAGAACTGGGTAACAATGACATCCATGGGTTCCCTCGCTTTGTGGGATATTCCTTGTGCTCAAGGAAGGGACTGTGCCCCAGGTGCCTTCCACAGGGACTGGAGCGCGTGGCCCTCCTTTGTGATGCTTCTCCCACCTACACCCACTCCCGGAGCCTGCACTGGGAAGAAACCTTCTCTAAATCAGAAAACACCAAGAAGGCATTGACTGAGCTGTAAAGTTCAGCACTCTCTCTCAAATCTTTCCTATTATAAAGTAAGAAAACAACACTTTCTGCAAGCTTCTTGGCCTAGGAATATCCTCCAATGTGAACGAGACTTCTCAAGGACGTTCCATCTATGAGGCTAATATGATGTCTGAAGAGTCCAGTCAAAGACTGGATTTGTTCCTTTAAGGATTTGGAAGTCCATTTTCATTACACATTCCGCAAGGAGAGTCGTTTGGCAATGTTGGCAGCCAATTAGAAACCAAACTAAATGCACCGTAGCTTTTAAAACATTTCAAAGAAGATGTTAATATCAAAGTTAAAATGTCTAAGGTATAAACAAAATCATAATGGGATGCTGGGTTACTGTATATGGTAAATAGCTCTCTGGAGGAAACCTTTATTACTCCCTCAGGGCTTTCTTACAAAGTATGGATTTCTTAATTCCTAGTGGAATATTTTTCATACACCACTGCAGACTATTAAGTACCAGATATTACATTATGTAGTTTAAACTTTGCACTATGCATGAGAAAGACTTTCCTGTCGAGAAAACTATATCTCTGCTATTATAATCTTTACAATATTAAAATTAATACTGGCTGCAGGGTATAAGCTTCGCTACCAAAATTTGGGGGAGTTTATCATTTAATATATTCATCAGCCTATGCATGAAGCCGCTCGTAAGGGAGGGAAGTCACTGTGACAGTGAAAGGGGTATTTAGTAATTCTGACTTGCTAGAGAGAGGCAGGACAACGGTGCCATCACATCCGACTGGTGTCGTTCTCCGTCCTGGGCTAGCAAAGGGCGTGGCGAGTCAGCAATAATAATGGCATTGCAAACACTGAAGGCAACTCATTATGCTCCAGGACGTTTCAAGTTCCACTTGTGAACCATTAACTTGTTGCCCAGGAGGGATTCCAAGCTAAGCATTAAAAAGATAATAAACATGCACCAGCCCTCACGGCACCCAAGAGCAGATACCTTGTAAATATGTAAAGAGAATTCTTAAGGAGTTTGTATTAAGAATTTCCTTTATCATCTTCTCTGCATAGCAACAATGGCCCACATACGTCTCAATACAAACAGGAAGGGTTGAAAAAAAAAAGAGCTGTTAAATTTTATTTCAAAAATTTAAAGTGAAATTCAACACTCACTTGTAGACCGTGCCTCCATTGCCATGACCGAGGATGTCTCGATACTGTATGTCTTGTTCATTCATCTCCACAAGAAAGAAAGAAAAACAAAAGAGATGTCATGCTGTGGATGGAAATGTCAAGGAAAAGCAACTCTAGGCCATAAACAACAAGCAGTCTGGGTCATTTCAAGTTCAGCTGCAAGAACGAGAAGATCAATACAACATTTGCTGTCCAATTTATAAAAGACGATACCAAGGGACAAAGTGATGGAAAGTTTAATGACAATTTGTTTGCCTGGGTCATTTCATTAAAGTTTGATAAAAGGTGTCAAAATGGAATGATATAATATAGCTCAAGAGGGTCAGGTCACAGATACTGATAGGAAAAGGGTCTCCAGAACAGCACATAACCAAAGCCAAAGTTGGAGGTGAATGGAAACAATCCAACAGAAAACTGTCATCTTAAGTAGGGCTAGAAAAGTTTATGATTTATTCTGGAATCAGCATAACTGATACTAATTGAGTGACAGTCCTGTCAGTAGGATTGCTTCGCAGCGCTTAATTTATGTACCCTTCAACTAATGGAAATGTTCGGGGAAAAAAAAGAGTCTTGAACTGCTATCCAAGAAAAATAACTTTCCTTGAAATACACAACCAATTTCTTGCCCCAGTCTTTCTGCTCACAGGGACAACTCTCCATATATGACGATCCCCTCAGATGCTCCCGCCAAAGCCCGACGCATGCACTGTATGCTGCAAATGCTGGGATCTTTCTGATAGGGATTTTATAAAAACTTATTATACCTCATCTTGCATGATGAGCAATGCAAATGTAAAACTACAGTTGAAACTTCTCCTGTTCAAATGCAGACATACTGATCTTCAACTAAACCACCTATTTAAAAAGAAATCACCACAGACATTTTTGGAATGCGTGCGCATACTTGAAATGAAATTCTTCAGGGAGACTAAATTCTGGGCTGCATGCATTTCCTTTTCCAAAAATAACTCCTCCGTTGCCTGATCATTGTAAGTAGAAAACGTCTGGGTAAAGCCCATTTTTAAAAGGCATTTTCCTGGGGATTTGTTACCAAATCATGAACTTGTTTCTATTAACTATTTATGTTTTAGGGGATACCAAGTTAAACATTTGACATGAGTTGATATGGCTGCTTTTTGTGTATTAAAAGGCATCAAGAAAACCTCTAATGCCAAGTCCGGTCCGCTATCACTGATGGGATTAGTGACCACGTGAGCACGTCTGAGAGAGCTCAAAGGAGCTGGTTCGAGTACCACTGGCACCGTGGTGAGAGCCACACGGAGCTCACCGTAAGCTAACTACCTGTATTTATCCAACTTTGAAATGGCTTTCAAAATTCAGTGGGACACATGCCCTTCAGCTACCGAGCCGTGCTTAAGCACCCACTTTCCTGCGATGTCAAAGATAAGGGGCACTTTGCCCCCGGCTTCAACTGGGACAAGTAAGTGCTGCTAACAAGCTGCAAGGCCCCAGAGTCAATACTCAGCACATCTTATGAACAGAAAATGGAATATTTAATTAATTTAAAACAATATGTTTTAAGGACAGAAATGGTGAACTCCAAGATCTGTATCCTTTCCTTCCACCACGTGAACCAAACGCATGCTTGTTTGTGAGAGGAAATACTTTCCCTCTGTGCATTTCCTCCAGGGAGGGCAAAATCTCAGAATTCTGAGAAAATTCAAAATACCTCAAAGCAGAAGTTCACAGTACAGCAATCTGTACTTAAACCTACGCCAGGTGTCTCAAGAGGGTGTGAAATAGCCCATACAAGTGGCAAAGTTTATGATGAAAATGAAAGTTTATTTTATTACTGAAAGCTATCTCCTTTATTGCATCAATCAGAAAATGCAAACAAAGACTGGAGAATTCTGAGAAAATTCAAAATACCTCAAAGCAGAAGTTCACAGTACAGCAATCTGTACTTAAACCTACGCCAGGTGTCTCAAGAGGGTGTGAAATAGCCCATACAAGTGGCAAAGTTTATGATGAAAATGAAAGTTTATTTTATTACTGAAAGCTATCTCCTTTATTGCATCAATCAGAAAATGCAAACAAAGACTGGAAAAAAAGATGCATCAATCAGAAAATGCAAACAAACAAAGACTGAAAAAAAAGACAGCTCAAAGAACAATAATCCATGAATGGGTCTTAAAACACACAAATGGATGCCCTGCTCTAAACATGATTTCTCTCAGGCTGCAGTACTTGTGAATTTAAAGCATATACTGTGTTTAAGGAGTTCTGCTCCTCTAAGCTGGAGGACTTTAATTCTCCAGTCTCTGAGATGGCAACAAACACCTCGTTCCTACAACCCCAGCAATGTCTTCATAAGCAAAACTCTTAAGAGAAATCAAATTAATCCACAAAGCTATGAACATTTTTGCATCTTGGAGGGAAAAAATTTTTTTTAATAGATACACAAGTTATAAGCAACAAATTGAGCAGAACCAGAGACATAATGCGTCTCAATTCTCCTGCTTTTTCCTAACGGCTAAAAGCAGAGAATTGTCTTCACACTGGTCCTTAAAAGCCAGTGATAGGAGCAGCTCTGTCCCGTGATGCTGCCCCGCTCACACCATTTCTTGCTTCTATGCACAAAGAGCAACCAGAAACCCAGGGTGAAACTGGAAGACCGAGGTGGAGCAAGGATCTGCCAGCAACCGATAGAGAGATAAAGCGTGATTTACTGGCTCAAATAAAGATGCCAAAAACATGTGGTGATTTATATATTTTACTGGGAAAACTGGATTCTCAATCATAAACTGATAACATAATAACAATGAACTCGACAGGATGGACTGGAATATTAAACCTGCAAAACCAAGTTTGATTGGATGCCAATATTAACGAGATTAATGAAAAAGCGAGAGAGACTTCAATTACGGCTCAGCAAACAAAACATCCCTCGCTTATACCTGCTGGCTCTGAGAGAAATCAGCGTCCATCTCTTGTAAATCATTAAAAACAAAATGCTCAATTAATCCTTATTTTATATGTAGGGGGCTGACAGAGGCAAAGTCCTACAGCCATACCTTTGCTTTACGAATCGAAGCGATAATGGTTTCAGAAAGCAGTCACACTCTATGAGCAGACAATTGAAGAGATTTAGTAAATCCCACTTTATAGAGCAGAGACTAATCGGAAAACACAAGCCAGTCAAATGTTTCTTATGAACTGTTGACACTATATCAATGCTGAATCAATTGGTGGCATTTACTCTGAGTGACAGAAAAGAAATAAATATTTATATCGCATCACCTATATCAATGAACCTAGGCAGAAAGCTATTTCTAACCTGTCAATATTTGATTATGTTGAAGAATCATGTCCCCTTCTTTTAATGATTAATATGAATTCCTTATTAAACCTAAATGGAAACTACTAGAGGAATATCATTATGAATGCCTGAAAGCATGAACTGCCAAAACATAATCAAAAATAATAACCCAACCCATATTTAAGTAACGATAAGTGTGACTTAATCCCCCAAAAGTTGCAACTAGAAACCTATTTCCTATTTGGATCTGTGACCAAATTCTGCAGAACGCAATGCAGCAAAACCAAAAGCATTTCCTCTCGACTGAAAGCAGTGCAACTCCTACCAGAACTGGTGAATAAAAGGTAGCATTAAAACTTAGTGTGAATTTCCTGTCTCTTTTTTTTTTAATGGGTTACGCAACGTTTTAAAATATCATAGTAAGAGTTCTGGTTTCTTTATATTTTTCTAAAATCTGGGAAAGAAATCTGTAGCAGCCTACTGCAGGGCACACAAAATACTGATTTCTATTACTTTGCACAAATAAAACGCCAAATACAGCTTATGGACTCAACTGCAAATAGATGCCTACTCACCTTCAGTAATTATACTTTAAAAAAATTAGTAATACTGGAGTAATTATCACCTTCCTTTTAAAAGTTCAGAAGCATGCTGCTGGAACTTAGATGATTTAACTTACCCAGAGAAATGTATCGTTTCTCTATGATTTTGACACATGAACAAATCTCCCTGGTAGGAATCTGTGAATATTAAACTATGTGTGCACGGGAGGCGTGCTGACAAGCTTAAAAATACACCTCCCAGCTGTATTCAAAGGATTCAGTGCCAAACAGGCAAGGCTGCAACGCCGGGCTGTTCGACTCACGTTTTAGAGGGGCACTCTCATCTATTAGACCACAATGTTACAGGTGATACTGAAGGACAAGCATGAAGACCAGCCTTTATCTTCTTGACACGCTCAACTACAACTACTTGATTCATGAAATGCCAATGAGGCTTGGAGAGGTCATTGTGTGAAGGCACTGAATACGCATCTGAGATAATTAAGATTTCAGCCTTCGAAACATGGAGGGGAAGTGAACAGCAGTTAAGAAAATCAATAAGAGTCTTTTATTTGCAGTGACACAGATGTCTCAGTCAATAGAGCCTAATAGGCAAGCCTGATGGCAACGGACAGGTGCCTGCCTCCAAGGCTATCAAAGGGCTTTCACTATGACAAACATCAAAACATATTTATGTTGCTGCTGAAGAATCCGGGATTCTTTTAGGGCAGTTTAATTTAACGGTGTATATTTAATGTCATTACGCCACTGCGAGCCTGCCCGTACGTTCAGCTCACAACGGGTGAGAATCGGTGGCTCCTTTTGTCTGGGACATCCACTTGTCCATCAACTGTTACTTTAAACCTTTCACCCTGGGTGCCAGAATCTGGATGCCTGGAGCAGGACGAGAAAGTCACAAGACAGGTTTCTACAACTTTGGGGTTTTTTTTTGTTTTAGCTTGGGTTTTCGGCCTTATTTTTTTTTAAGAAGTTACAATGTAAGCCAATTCCAAACATTACAGAGCCGTTCCTTGCAAGAACCTGCTAAATATTTAAGTACCTACTGCCCTGAAACCCACGAAGGTCATTCTAACTGAGCAGTTGACTCGGTTATTCAAAATTGATTAACTTTCTTCCCTGAAATTGTGGCAGCAGTGCAACATGTGTGAGGTACTTCAATCCATTTGGAGCTAAATCTGATTAGCACATTTTGAGAAATGGGAAGCAAATTGCTATGCCAATCAAAGTAAAATCAGGACACACAGCTCATTCATATCATGAAGGTTTTCATGGTCCCTCCAGTTCTGTATTAAAAGAACACATTATAACGAAACGAGCAGTAAGCATCTCCCCACCTATCTGAGGTATGCCAATCACTGCAGCATTCGGCAGCAACGAGAGGCGCGTGTAGCCAAGACTCAGTCCAGTGCCCCTACCTGGCCGTTGGCAAGTATTTTCTTCAGTTCCGCCGAAGACTTTTTTAAGCTGGAAAAAATAAGAAGCAATTATTTTTAATTACTCTGCCATTTCACTCTCTAAAACGAAGCAAAACCGTAGAAACAAGCAGCCAGGAGGTTAAGCTCATGGCAACATATTCTGAACAGATTTAACTGCAGCAGTGCTGACTGATGTTCAGCGTAGCTGCTCCTCAAACCGCAGAGAGCAGAAATGGAGCAGCAGTGAGCGTTTAAGGAAATCAATATAGTTTTCACCTTTACAAACCAGCTTTTTTAGATAGCTGACTATACCCTTTGAGATACCACCTACTGTTTGACAGTTCAAAGAAAAAGAAAAAAGGATGCCGTCACGCACCAGGCGTTTCAAAGAAACAACAGGAAAATCAGGTTTGCGTTTAGTCTTCAGGTGCCTTATCTTGTTTTAAAACCCCTTAAGGCATTATCCCTCTATAATTTCTGCAGGTCTGCAGCAGAAGGGTGTGCTGCCGACGATGCCTCGCTACCCCAGCTGACCGCAGACCGCTGCACGGTGAGCAGGTGAGTACAACTCCTGGCTCAGGCACCTCGGGACATGCCTAAATTGAGGAGGGTGAGTCCAGACGGCCGCGTGCATCCATCCCGGCTCAACTTGCTGCTGCAGTCCCCGTGCTTTTGCAGGAGAAACTACTCCTGTGTCAGTAATCTTACATTCTGCTAGATGACCCGTATTATTTTTTTTTTCTAGTGGGAGAACTTTAACAAACCACAACTATCAGCGTGGTAAAACTCTTAACGGCTTCAAACCACTTCCACCCACTCACAAAATACTGCTTCATCTTCTTTCCTGGCAAACTCTGTTCCTGGTACGTTCAACACAACAAACTGCCTGGGTAGCAATATCTCTGCAAAACTTAATCTCAAAGAGACATTCTGCTCTTATTACTGAAGTTAAAAAAAAAAAAAAGTACAAAATAATATATTCTTGAAAGGCATGTGCACGTGTCTTGATCACAGATCATTATTAACGAGAACAGTGAAAACACAGATTTCATATTTGGTGGCTTTGTTCTTTAATAGGCCTCTTGTTCCCACGACTACTTTAAAGAAAAATTAAGTTTTCCAAGGAAACATAAGTTGATCTTGTCATCTTTCATGACTAACAATTTGTGAACATGAAACAAAGAGAGACTTTCAATTACTTCAAAAACAGAACTCATAGTGCAGAAGGTTTTGGAAAAGGAATGGCAATTAACCACCAAATAAGGTGGCAAGAATCTTCTAGAAGCCTCATTTTCAATGCGCTTTAAGAACAAGCTCAAAGTAGAGGAAGCACAGAAGCCAAAGCCCAACAGCGGCGGGAAGCAGCTTTATTTAGTTCAGTGCTCTGACAGAGTGGGAGGAGGACTGCAGCTCACAAAGACATTCAGATTTCTTCAAAGAGTCTTGGATGGGATCTTCACCCCTGCAATGCACAGCAAATCTCCCCCAAGGGATGGGGGCGAACTTCCCCGGAGGAGACTGACACGGGGTACTGGCTTTCTTGTTTAATCCCTACAGTTAGCAAAGTCACCCTCGGGAAAACCAAAACCGGTTTCAGTGGTACGTGACTGGGGCTACCCACCGGATCTCAGCTCCAGCACTGCTGCCAACCCTGGGGGGTGGCATCCTCCTCGCCAACGGGTAACCACGTCACACCGCTCCCAGCGGGCAAGGACAGGGATCCTGGGACAGTCCCAGCTCCGCAGCTCTGCGCGGTGTCTGCCAGAACAGGCACCGACGCTTCACCGACTGCACATGCCTGACGCAGTATGACTGACTCCTTGAGATGTTCATCTCTCTATTAGTTCTTTTTTCCAAAATGCTTTCGGAGAAAAAAAGGGAGCAGCATGCTGATGCATGGATAAATGTAATATTATACACTTATTAGAATAATAGAGTAATTTAGGTTGAAAGGGACCTCCAGAGACTTCTATTCCCACGTTCCAAATATGCTCATCTCTGAAGAGGATGGAGCCAGGCTTACTCTTATTTCCTTTCAAGAATACACACATTTATTTTGTGGGGGTTTTGTTTGTTTGTTTTAACATCAGTATTGACTATAACAACTTCCTGGAACAGTTCACATAATAAAAGGGAGTTTATGCTCCAGTATTTAAAAACAGATCTCTAGGAAAAAAGACAAAAAGTTGTCTTGCACCTTAAGATCTTACTATGGGTTTTGATATCAGGAGTGGAATCTAAAAAGAAAGGTAAGGGTGCTGGACTCCAAACCTTTGCTGAAACTGCATGAAACCGGGCACCTAAGCCATTGGGATTTTCACAAATCTTACCCCACAATAACAAGCCTACTGAATTGTGTATCAAATTTTAAAGTCAAAGAATCCTGGAATGAGACAAACAACGAACACCTGAATAAAGAACAAAGCCATCTGAAATACTGTGCAAAGACTTATTTCTTTCGGCAGAAAATAGCTCTCCCGAACCACCAGCAGTACGAGTCTAACAGGATCCATGAATCAAGGTAATTTCATCTTCCCCACCTCACTCCTGCGCGCCCAGCAGTCACATTGAAAAAGTTATTCAACATCGAGCTCATCGCTGGTAACTACCCCAACACAAGGTTCCATTTTGGCTTAATAAAAGGAAACAAACCACAACACACGCTCCCGTTCTTGACTCTTACCTATTGCTTGGGAGGGAATCCGAGACTGCCGAACTGCTATTATTAGCAGACCCTGCTCGCGTATTTACCTGCAGGCAGGGAAAGGATCTTTATCAGTCGTTTGTGTTCAGAGGACACTATTCTAATTAACCTGTAATTTGCCATGAATTTCTCATTTCACTATGAAGGTTAATTAGCTTGTTGCTAGGCATGCCGACGGTTGAGGGCTCGCCTGTATGTAGGTTAGCAGGCTATATACTTCACGGACTACAATATGCTATCTTTACATCTTAACCCCTTAGTTAAATAATGCAGAAAAAGTTACGTCCACCATTTATTCTCATTTTAAACACTAACCACTCATTTAATACATTCTGCATTTCAGAACGCAGTAAGCATACCTGAATGAATGAAACCACCTAAGAGAATTTCACTGCCGTGCCTTCTACTTAGATAAATTACTGAAATCACATTAATATGGCGGGGTTTTTTAAACTCCTTGAAGCAGCAGCAGACATGAGTTGATAATCTCAATATTGAAATCTACCAACCTTATTAACAGAGGTTAAAAACAAAAAGAAAGGCAATTCCACATCTAATAAAACTGTATATATCGATATCGTAGGCAACACCCAGCAGATGAATCCTTCTCCCACCCTCACAAAAAAAAAAAAAATCTGCTTGTCAGAGCTCAGGAAAGTGCAGTTTTATTTGACATTTCAATAAGTGGAACACAGCATTACAAATCCATCTAACTTTACTGAAACAATTATTGAAATTCGTACCTTCAGGCCATGTATGTTCCGTTTCCCAGGAGGCTTGCAGGCTGAAACAGTAATTGACTAAATTGTAGAACACATCAGGGCCATTTACAAATTTGCTCAAAATGAATCTTTTAAAAAGAAATGAGGGTGACACCAAAATTAGCAGAGAGAAATGATTGAAAAGTGCCTCACAAGACCCAGAGTGGGAATTATGAACCAGGATTTTTAACTTGCAGGAGTGAGCATTTATAAATGCTAAGAGCTTCCTGACACCATGTAATATAAATTCTAATTTCTGCTTAAACCACATCAAAATCAAGAGACCTGTTGGCTTAAATGATCAGATTCTTCTTGCGATTCAAATTAAAATCAATATCTTATGTCACTATATTTTCACATGATGTATTTTTTCTGGCATTTAACAGAAATATTTGCAAGATATGTTTTAAAGGAATCAGCTGCCACACATCAGGCATTAGTCACATTGTCAAAGGCAGACAGTTTGTTTTAAATGTGGAAGAAACACGTCAGGGGCACCAGCAGCGAGCCTCGGGAAACCAAACACTGGATAAATGCAATAGAAAACGCCACATTTTGGACACAGATGTACCAGTGTGGCATCTTATTACGATGTCTAGGTTTAGAGAGGGCGACGCTGCACGAGGAGAAAGTGTTTTCCTCCGGTCTCTCAAACTCTCTATTGCCTTGTTCTTCCCTTCGGTGGATGTGCTTTTGTCAAATGTTAAAGCCACAAAGGCTTCCAGCTACACGCTACAGACAGTTCCCATTTTAAAACTACAGTGCCCTACAAATGGTATGTTAAAGGGCCTGTCACTTTTGATTGATTGTCTGAGGAGGGATGAATTTGATTTTTCTCTTTCTCTGATGCACATGCATTTCACTTCAATTTCTGACAGCAGGAAACAGAACTATTTATTAGTCAGAAGGACACAGATGATAGTTATTAAACACATCAGTTAGGGCCAGGTCATGTGCCTTTAAATGACATTAGAAATTACCATGTGCATCTTAAAGAAGAAAAATATGATAATATGGGCATTAAAAAACCAACCACAAAAAAAAGAACTATTCTAAAATACTTATAAGCATATTCTAATTTTTCCAATACATTAAAATCAACTTTTTGAACAAGATATGAAAAGAATAGTATTTTTTAGGATTTATACTTGAATGGTATATTCACCTTGCATTCCACAGATGGGAGATCCATAACGTAGACAGGACGTATGTGTGTGTGTATGCACAGACTTGTCTGTGTATATGCACACACAGAGACTTATCTTCAGTATAAAAAAAAAAGAACTCTGGCTCTTACTGCCTAGACAGCAACAATACGTTTTTGTTTTATAAAACAGACAAAACACCAATTTTACCCCCTAAAGACCTTTAAATTGCCAAATGGATATAGCACAGCCAAGGTAACACCGGATGGGACATGGGCATTTATGGAAGACTCGAGTTTTTGGAAGCTGACTGAAGACAGCGACTGGGCTGCTTCCTCGGAAGTAAGAGAGGCAGAAAGGGAAAAGGCAGATCAGGCTCACAAAGAAAGCTCTTAAACAGGGAGCACCTTGAATTACAAGCAGAAAAGCTGCATGTTACCGACGGGGCTTTAAACTGCTTTAAACTGCAGAGACATGGCCAAAAGGGCACGAGAGAAAAGCGGTTGTGCTGACAAATTCTGGGATGTTCATCAGAGCAGGACTAGAACTTCACATGCCACAACATATGCAAGAAAGTGCATTTTGTTTGACATTGCAGAAAAGCATCAGCAGAACCTGGAGGCAGTCTGGGCACGAAGGGAGCGCAGCGCAGCTCTGCAGCTCTAACCTAGGCAGAATAGATGTTTTAAGGTGATTTGGAAAGATGAAACAGCAGCTCCGCTCCGAAGCGATTCAGAGTAAGGGAGAAGCCACCTACGAGGAAATACCCAGCAGCCATGTGTGTAGTTGAGCCAATGGGGAAAAAGCAGAGATAACACATGGGGATCACATCCTCAGCATCACCGAGACGAATCCTGAATCTGTGCAGTAAGATGACTATCTTGGATGTAAAACAAATGGAAAAGGAGCCAGCAGCAGGAACAGGAATCTGCTTGGCTGATTCTTCAGGAATGACCCAAAAGGAGAGCCTAGAAGGTTAAGCCTGATACAAAACCACAAACATCTCTTTAAACACTCAGGCATGCCAGCTACCGAGCACCTCCTGCCCCAACTTACTTGAACTGTTGGCTTAAGGGGAAAGATACCCAACTTGTTTGCTTTTCCAAGAGGGTTCCCCACATACTAAGATCATCCACTACACCAGGTTCTCTGAGCCACGTGAAAGCCTAGCCTCATATTTCTTGTAAGTGGGGGTCGACGCTTTCAGCAAGAGTGTAGGTCAGCAACGAAATGGCCTTCTGCAGAAGGAGATTGAGGAGAAAGGCCGAGACCCTTGCACCTCAGCCTGGGAAGAGGCAGAAGAGAGCATCCCTCTTCACAGCTGTCCTTGCACTCATCTCGTGAGGATGCATCTCGACTGCTGATTGCCCTGGAGTGCTGCAGCTGAAACAGCTCAAGTCACCCCTCAACCAGATCCTGCTACCCTGAGCCACTTAAAAGTAAAAATGAAAATCTACCCATATTCCCCCAAATTCAAGTCTCTTTTCCATAGGAGTCTAATAAACTACCAGGAAACCCAGCCTCCTTTTGAGACCTGATTAGCATGTGTTTGAGAAGACTGTTGGTTAATTGCCCAATTCAAACTTCGGAGAGTTGTAAGTAATGGGAGTCTAGAATGTTTAATTGGGAAGCTCATAGTATGATTATTTGTATAATAGCAGTTAAGTGAGAAGAGTTTAATTTTTAATTATTTCAATTAATTTATTGCTGGGAGATTTACTTGGAGAATTTAATCCTTATCTGTTTCATCAATTAAGAGGCAGAGATTCAAAGACTGGCTAGTGAGAGCATCTGAACGAATCAGTGGAATTATGTAACGTACTGGGTATTTTTTTAACCCTAATCTGAGTTCAGAGAGAGCGGTGCATTCCCAAAAACCTAACTACCTACCTACGGATTTTTGTTCAGGATGTAGATGACCTATTTTTTAATTGCCTCAGCCCACATAATTGATTACATCTTTCCCTGTTCAGGAGAACTAGTAAAGTACTTGTGAACGTTTTGATACCCCTACTAAGTGCCCAAATCTCAAAAAAAATACGTCACGGAGAGAGCTTCTGTGACAGACCCATTCCCGTTTTCAGAATGAACGACAGTCACATTCCCCAAGTCTGTTCGACTGATTAGTGATATTAAAAGATCTTCACAAACCCCAATCTTCCTAAGTATCCAAAACTTCAGTTATTCATCTGCTTTGGTTTGAATACATGCAGAACCATCACTACTGAGTTTTTAAAATGTACATAAATATGTACTATGCAAACTGAATCTTGTTAGTTTAATTTACTCCAGTAAATTAGCTATTTTATATGCAATAAATGCAGTTTTCACTACACTCCCCACAATAATGAATTCTTCTATCCAAATTAAGAGGTAAACATCATGTTATGTGCATTTAAACCTCCCGAATACATAACTGTTGATGAAACAGTTTACTGATATCATCATTGTTGATTAGAATTTGTTAAGCATTACCTCTCGGATAGATCTGTAGAGGCTCTATTAACTGTCCATTTACTTGCTGTTCCATTACAGTGGAGTAATACTGCAAAGAAATTAAAGAAAGAGATTACTCAGTAATGTATGAATAGTAGTAAGAGCACTTACGGATTGTTTAATTCAACGTTTTTGGGTTTTTTTTAAGTTGCCACAGTACATCTCAGCCTTTAGAACACATTCTTACCATTTGCAATGTTCACGCAATAACGTGGCATGGGAGGAACACAAGCCAGGGCCTGTGATACCCAGCACAGGGACCTGTTACTGGCTCAACTGTGCAAATTTCAAGCCCACCTGAAGCCTGGGAACGCTTCAGAAGACTGAGCAAATACAGCATTTACAGCAAACACAGCAGTTACCACACCTGGAGAAGCCAGGAAAACCAGTCAAACGTGGAAACAAAGAAACGCTGTAAATATAAAAACTGTGCAATCAGGAAAACTCCAAAGGAGAAAAGAATCTGGAAACTATTCAAGAATTTGCAGCGATGAAGCACAGTCGGGGCAGTTGGGGTCACATCCCACGCAAGCGGAGACGCCGTGCATTCCCCCAGCATACAAATTTAATGCACAGTAGGGCATGCAAAAGCATTCCTAGAAAGCCACTGCAAACACACCGAGACCTCGGACTATGGCACTTGAACTCCAGACACTGCTGGGAGTGATCCGGGGGGAAGTTTATTGGTAAAGAAAGGCTAAGAATGGGCAAAAAGGGATGCAAAAGCAACCGAGAGCATCAAGACCCAAGAAGACAGGCAATGTGGTATGAGGAAACCTGAGAAGTGGCACGGGGATGTGGATGAAGAGTGGCATTAAATAAAGAAATAAGCATTTGGATTAAATAAACTGAAATTCTTTTAGCCTTTCTTAATTGACCCTCACTCCTGAGGAGGGCGAACACCCACCAGATGGGACACTGAACATTACGACCAGACAATCCCAGGGCAGAAGACAGACCTTGCTACGAGTTCAGTGTCTTTAACCCACACATCGCTCGTCACGATGTGTTAAATACTGCGAGCGCATCACAAAGCGTGTTTCTTCTGCAATCGCCAACATCTTTGAAGCAAACAGGCTGGCTGTGGGCCAGATCTTCATGGCATAAATCAGTGTAGCTCCAGTGACTTTCATGCTAATTCTCACCAGCCGAGTGTGGTCTAAGACTTCAGCATGTCACTGTTACCAGCGGTTTGTGATACTGTTACTCAAACTGGCAAGAATGGATGTCAACAAGGAAAAAAATTCCAAGTCTCCATGGAATCAAACACGTGTTTCACTCACACCAATGGTTTCCTGAAACGCAAGCATTTTCTACTTATGCAACTTTTAAAAAGCCAGAAGTTTATGAACTACCTACCATTACAAAACATTTTTCTCTCCTCTTATAATGGGATTAAACACGTGAACTACAGTAAGCAAATGTTAGATGGACACCAAAGTCAATTTATGTGCAGTTTTCCAGTGCTTCTGTTTTTCACATTCGTGTCAAGAAACAGCAAGAAAATTCCGTTTTGTGAAAAAAAAAAACAACTTGTTAGGAAGAAAACTGCGCAGGGTTTAAGGATGTGTCCAGCCCCACCACCTGTATGCACACGTATAGACTCACAGAATGGTTTGGGT